CTCATTGTCATTGACTCCCCTCACCACACCACTTGAGAACGTCGGACTGACCAAGGTGCATCCTGCACGTCGGACTGATTCACGCGGACGGTGATGACAGGGCTCATGCGATCCTCTAAGGTTCCATTCAGAATGCTGTAGAGGCTCTGCTCCACAGCTGATTCCGCTAATGAATCCTGCGAGAACGGGGGACGGGCGCCAGAACCAAGTGGCCACGGGTTTGCGGAATTCCAAAAATGCCTTATTAACTTAAAATAGTTGGTTGGACCGTTGGACAACAACGAATAGACCTTCACATAGACCTTCACCTTGCGACTCCAAGAGGTCCCACCAATCCACCAGAACCCGCGCACGACGACGGGCTCCTTCGAGGCGTTCCGGTTGGACCTTGGGGCTCGGTGCGGCGGTCCAGCGTCGGCGCCGTCGGCGCCTTCGGTGGGACCGGACCTTCGTCGTTCCTCGCGCGGTGAGTCCAATCACCCCGTTCCTCACCTCAGACTGGTCTGAGGCTCTCAATTCGACCTCAATTTGAGGTGTCGGTGCTGGTAGATGTCTTTAGGTTGGTTCCTCCAGTCAGCTCCCCCATGCAAGCTCCAAGTCCACCAATCAGCCCCCGTCGACCCGAACCACCACCCTTCACCCCCCTGAACGCCGTTCGAACCCCGCAAGGCGGTGGTCGCTTTCAAGGCGGAGGCGCCAATCCAATCGGTAGGCGCCGTTCATCTTCAAGAGTCTCATGAGCACCGTCCGGGTGGTCGTCCCTGCCGGAGATCCGTCCCGCGAAGCCGGGCGGAAGTCGCCGAAGCTTGTCATGGTCAGTCAGCTGGGTGTCACATGTCGAAACCAGTCGAAGCGTGCCGTCCCGTCGCTTCTGGCGAAATCTGGTGGCGAAAAAGGAACGCCGACAAATCCACATGATTGTATAGCTATCTCCAGCCAATATGCCACTCAGCTTCCATGACACTTGAGACTGACCCATGCGTGAGCGGAGGAGAGAACAACAGCGGGTTGGCCTGCGAAATGCTTCAGTATGTTTCAGGAAGAGGTGCGTCAAAGATTGTTACGAGGCTCTGTTCTTGAAAAACGTCGCGACATGCGACATGCTTGATCCAGCGCTGGCTGGATGCCAGCTCCGTTGATGCGTTTTCTCATCTTCATCCCACCAAAACAGGTGGAAGCCAAACCGCCTTGGCATCTGCTTATCCCATGTGTCCACCCAAGCATCTTTCAAAGAAAAAAGCATCGTCGGTCGTCGGCCCTTTGAAACGTCATCGTCCGGCCAGGCCACAGGTCGAGGTGTAGGTCGTCGTCACACAGCTGGGATAGTCTCCACGGAGCACCCCAGAGGCCTGGACGCCAAGAACCAAGAGAGGTTTTTCATCTTCACTATATAGCCTATATGGATCCCCTGCGAGTCAAAGACTATCAAAAGAATGGTCTGACGAACGGCGACCCGAGTTCAGGAATATGCTTTACTTCAGTGGGGCAAAATATCGTCGAACTGGACTTCTAGGGGATCAAAAAAATGGATCGATCTATGGATCTATATGGCCTAAATCCGTCCATCCCCCATGTTGTGCCCACCGGAGAGGTCCGAACGTTCAGGTCGACCACCGACGGAGATGGGCGCGTCGGACTCCAATTTCAGGGGCCAGAATGCACGTTGGACACGGCAGCTCTTCGGCGTTCGTCGCGTTTTTCTGGCTGGATCTCCCAAATCCAGGCAGGGGCTTGGAGGGTTTTCATGGCCTTCCGCCATCAAAAGCAGCCCTTCTCCAGCAACTACCTCCTTTCATCTTCTAGCAACTACCAGGAAACAAGGCAGGACACGCCCTCCCCTTGTTCGTGGCCATTTTCAACCCTCCACCCACCAATCCGGTGTTGGTGCGCCTGGCAGCTTAACACTTGCACGTCACCGAACCAACCATCGGCACAGGACACCATGCAATGCTGGCCAGTGACCTCGGACGAACAGAGCGACCTTCGAAGAAGAAACTTCAGTGTTTTGCATCGATCGGCGCGAGGGTTTATGGATGGTGAGGGAAGAATTGATGGGTCAACGATTTAGGGTGTCAGAACCATTCTGGAACGCACTGCCTTCGAGTCCACTTGTGGATTGTCTAGGTTGTTTCACTGGTTAGTTTTTCTCTACAGGTCCGAAATGTCCAAAGATTCAGTAGAACCTGGTCCTTTAAACCTCATATTGAGTCGTGTTTTTCTATCAACTCCGGGCAAAACGAGGTAAAAATTCTGACCTGTTTTTGGATTTGATGCCCAAACGAAGTCTCAAAGAACCCACGACCGGGTGTCCTCTGGACCCACTGCGGAGGCAACCCGGGCCCTGTCGGGTCACCCGACAGCGGCAGCGCGCTCTGCACCGAGCGGTGCGCTCCGACCAAGGCATGTCATATCCGTGGGGGTGATCCGAGTGAAAAGATATTGTCCTGAACACTTCGGTGTTGCCAAAAGTAGTCGAACTGAACAATGAAGCTGGGATTTGGATGGATTTGGGATGAACTGAATGATGAAACTGCATTTATGGACTTGATGTTCTACCTTCACCGGTTCACACGGTCCTGTTTCATCCCAAAATTGTTACCCGAAAGTGTGGTTTCCCCAAACATGTCCACATGTCGGAAAGTGGAGTGCAGTGGATCCAAGAGGTCAAGACGAACTTAGACGAACGTCAATTAGATGTCCACTGATGTTCTCAGGTGCTGGAGTACTTCCCAGAACAGTGCAGTATCCCTACCAGCTCCTTCCAACAGGTGGTTTTTTGAATCACCAGACACCTCAAATACGAAAGGTCCTCTTCTTTACAAATTCTTGGAATCCGTCAAGTCACTCTACCCGGTCCGAACCCAGGTGATCAAAAGCGACCTCTTTCCGCATGTCCCAGGCAGTCAAAACAACGACCCACGCCCGTGCAGATCAAGACACCACAGTGCTGCAGTTATGCTGGTATTCTACCTGCGCGTTTGTGCAGAAAAAACGACACAGAATGTTTTCCAAGTAAGTGAATTAGCCCAGCTGGAGACCCCAATAGCAAGATACAAACCGGGACAAAAAGAAAAATCTAGAAACAACTGCTGTTTTCAACACATCGACCATCTCTTCCTTGGACACCATCATCACATAACCGGGACACCATCACAAAATGACCAGGGCACCATCAAAACATGACCGAGACACCGTCACAACACGATTGGGACACCATCACAACATAACCGGGATGATTACAAGGTGACCGGGACACCATCAAAACATGACCGGGACACCGTCACAACATGAGCGAAACACCATCACAACATGACTGGGACACCGTCACAACATGACTGGGACACAATCACAACATGACCGAGACACCATCACAAGGTGACCGGGACATCAACATGACATGACGGGAAAAACATCACAAGATAACCAAGACACCATCACAACATGACCGGGACACCGTCACACCATCAATACATAACCGGCACACCGCCAAAACATGACCAGGACACCATCACAACAGGACCGGGACACCGTCAAAACATGACCGGGACACCATCACAACACGAC